TAGATAGATAGATAGATAGATAGATAGATAGATAGATAGATAGATAGGATTGGTAGGTAGGTAGATAGACAGATAGGATAGATTGATTGATAGATGAGAGATTGATAGATGAGAGATAGATAGATAGATATGATAGCTGAATCTTTGTCTTTTGCTTTACTTCTAGGATACTACAAAATATTCAGGCCCGGCTACAGGAAGAACACTCTCTTCAAGACATAATATTCAAAAGTGCTTTTAAAAGTGCTTCAACGGCGCTTCCACCAAGGTGAGATGGTAGCTTCAGGGTCTCCTCGCCGCGGGGGAGGGGGGGACCATGAAAAAGAACTGATGTCATCCAAAACAGGTCAATTCAGAGATAAAAGCCATGACGTTGACCGTATTTTTAGAATCCATATGCTAAGCCCGTGATGGCGAACCTATGGCACGCATGCCACAGGTGGCACACGTAGCCATATTGGTGGGCATGCGAGCTCAGTTCCGGTGCACATGTGTGCGCTGGCCAGCTGATTTTTGAGCCTTCTGGGCCCACCAGAAGTAGGGAAACAGGCTGTTTCCTGCCTCCGGAGGGCCTCAGCTGGTGGTGATGGTGAAGGCCCGTTTTTCTCTCTCACCAGGCCCCAGAGCCTTTCTAGGAGTCTGGGGAGGGCGAAAACGGGCTTCCCCACCTACCCTCGGAGGCCCTCTGGAGGCCAGAAACTTCCGGTGGGACCGGAAGTTGGCAAGCAGGCCGTTTTTGCCTCCAGAGGGCCTCGGGGGGGGGGGAGGAAGGCCGTTTTTGCCTCACCCGACTCCTAGAGGCTCTGGAGCCCGGGGACAGCAAAAAACGGGCCTTCCAGTCCCACTGGAAGTTGACAAACGGGCCGTTTCCGGCCTCTGGGGGGGGGTTATTCTATACCAGGGGTCAGCAACCTTAAACACTCAAAGAGCCACAAATGTCCTAACCGGAAGCCCCCCGTTCAATTCTGGAGCTGACCGGAAGTCCTGTTTCCCCACCGTAGAATCTCCTCCTACCGCGACGTCATTTTTCCTCTGCCAACCGGAAGTCCAGTTCCCCCACCATAGAGTCTCCTCCTAGCGGGGCATCCTTTTTCCTCTACCTGTCCTAACCGAAAGCCCTATCAATTGTGGAGCCGACCGGTGACAGGGAGCCGCAGACAGAGGGATGAAAGAGCCACATGCGGCTCCAGAGCCACAGATTGCTGACCCCTGTTCTATACCCTGTGTTTTAAGTCACTCAATTTTTCTCAATTTGTGAGCTTGCATCTACGTCCGTGGTCATTGGAGACCATTACGTTAGATTTGCTTATGAGCAATATGTAACCTACGTTTTCTGAGAATTTGTATTTTGCAAGGCTTCGTAAAATGTGAAGTGCTACTTTTTAAAAATGTACTTATTTATTTATTCATTTTTTTGTAAATCCACGCAGGGAGGACAATCCTGTACATTCGGCCGATGCCTGCAGAATTCATGGGCACCTCTATGTGAATAAAGTAGCAGGGAACTTTCACGTTACAGTGGGCAAGTATGTTCATTTCATTTCCTGAAACGCTATAAACCCGGGACAGGTGGACTTCAACTCCCAGAATTCCCCAGCCAGCTGTGCTGGCTGGGGAATTCTGGGAATTGAAGTCCAGCCCATCTTAAAGTTGCCATGGTTGGGAAGCCCTGTTATAGACTAGGTTTTGCGTCCCACTTCAAAACATCCGATGTACATTTTTTCAAGGAACAGACCAATAATGCAATCCTATAGAATAGGCTCAGCGGCTAAGTCGCTGAGCTTGTCGATCGAAAGGTCGGCAGTTCAGCGGTTCGAATTCCTAGCGCCGTGTAATGGGGTGAGCTCCCATTTCTTGTCCCAGCTTCTGCCAACCTAGTAGTTCGAAAGCACGTTAAAAATGCAAAAATAGGGACCACCTTTGGTGGGAAGGTAACAGCGTTCCGTGCACCTTTGGCGTTAAGTCATGCCGGCCACATGACCACGGAGGTGTCTTCGGACAGCGCTGACTTTTCAGCTTTGAAACGGAGATGAGCACCATCCCCTAGAGTCTGGAATGACTAGCACAAATATGCGAGGGGAACCTTTACTTTTACCTATAGAACAGGGGTGTCAAACTTAATTTCATTGAGGGCTGTAATTGACCTTGGGGGGTGGGGGGCGTGGCCGACTGGGGGGCCGTGGCCCGTTTGACACCACTCCCCAAACTGCTGGCATGTTTCCTCTTTTCCTCTTTTTGAGTAGACCGGGCTGAAGCCATGCTGGCCCAATGTTTCCTCTTCGCATTGGGTAGACCAGGCCGAAGCGACGCGGGACGGCCCCTTACATTTTCCAGGACGGCCCCGTAGACCAAATGCAGCCTGCAGGCTTTGAGTTAGACACCCCTGTTATAGAACAATCCCCAACCTTTTGGAATTGGTGGCCTAGAGTGGGGAGGAAACGGGGGGCAAGTTGGGGTGGTTTTGTCATGCGCGCTAGCACTCGTTGCACTAGTGGGGCCACGAGCTCCCGGGATGCGTGAATGGGGCCGGGAGTACCCGCAATGCTCGTGCGAGTGGGGCTGTGACTTACGCGGCCCGGTTGAGAATAGGCCATGGCTGACAGGTTGGGGACCCTCTGCTATAGGGGTTCATTTGGAAGTGAAAAGCAGCATTCTGGTCATTGATAGTTTTCTTGAAAATGTGTATCAATTCCTGGATTAAGTCTACCTTTCGATAACATTCCTGAATTATAACACATCCCTTTCTTTCTTTCTTTCTTTCTTTCTTTCTTTCTTTCTTTCTTTCTTTCCTTCCTTCCTTCCTTCCTTCCTTCCTTCCTTCCTTCCTTCCTTCCTTCCTTCCTTTCTCCTTCCCTTCCTTCCTTCCTTCCTTTCCTTCCTTCCTCCCTCCCTCCCTTCCCCTTCCCCTTCCCCTTCCCCCCTTCCTTCCTTCCTTCCTTCCTTTCCTTCCTTCCTTCCTTCCTCCCTCCCTCCCTCCCTCCCTTCCCCTTCCCCTTCCTTCCTTCCTTCCTTCCTTCCTTCCTTCCTTCCTTCCTTTCTTTTTCATTTTAGGGCAATTCCCCACCCGAGGGGCCACGCACATTTGGCAGCTCTTGTGAGCCACGAATGTAAGCCACCTCTGTTTCTTGACATTGGAAGTGTTATTTGTTGAGTGGTGCTTCGGACAAATCTATCCAGACACGTTTTTTTCCACTTGCCAAATGTTCTGACCTAGGCTTCCTAAAACAGTAAACAAAGCACACGACCAGTCCCAAAAACCCTCTTTTTATTTCAACGGCTGTGAATTCTGTTCATTCACAGCCCGTAATGAGTCACAAATAGTTTGTAAAGAGTCTGACAGAAGTCTGCCACAGTCCTTCGGGATAAGGTTGATAAGCACCCACCTTCATCTCCCTTGATATGCTGCCAAAGACCTAATCGGCAATTAGCTTTGCAAGGCCACACAGAGTACAGAATCAAAATGGAGCTTCAGAATTTAAACCAACCAGAACAAAGTTGCTTCCTGCAAAAGCTCACATTATTTTTAAATTTTGTCTGTCTTTGTGCTTTTAATCAGGCTGTACACCACCCTGAGTCCTTCGGGAGAAGGGCGGTATAGAAATAAAATTAATAATAATAATAATAACAACAACAACAACAACAACAAGCCTTTGCTCTTTCTTTATGTCTTATGGGAGGGGCCAATCATCTCCAAGCCCTACTCACGAGTCGTCCCTTTTGTCTTAACTGTTCTTGCCTTCTGGCAGCTCTGCGCATGCGCGCATTGGGAACAGGCTGCTGTGATGATGGCTTCTATTAACTGGGTTTTATTGCTGGGTCGCTTCTGACTAACAAGTTTCTTTAGTCGGCTCCATAGATTTTCAATTGGGCTATTCCCAGGCCATTCCAGCAGTGGAATAGGATTCTCTTGAAACTCCAAAACAAATAAAAAAAGTGGTGTTATTAGCCATCAAACCTCAAAATTACACTTTCCCCAAAAGGTTTCCACAATTTTGGCCACTACTGTATATGTGCCTGTAGCTAAAATTACGATATTAAGCCGGTGTTTTTCCCGTTGTGTCTTCCAGCATATAATTTCTCCCATAGGATAGATCACTTATCTTTTGGAGAGCTTATTCCAGGCATTATTAATCCTTTAGACGGCACCGAAAAGATTGCATCAGATCGTAAGTGGGTTTTATTTATCTGGGGGGGGAAAAAAAAAATCACAACAGCTTTGTTTGGTTTTCCGCTTGGATTACAATTCTCTTTTGGATTTCCTTGAATGGTGTTTATTGCATCATTTCCGCGGAATTTTTAACGACTCTGCCGATGTGTTAATCACACCTCCGCTGAGATCTCAACAATTATAATAATAATTGGTAGTGTAATATGTTTCATAAATAAAGATGTCATTTTTTTTAATGGAATTTAGCCTCGGGGATGATGGTACATTTTCTGTGGAACATCTCTCCCTTCCACCGAAGTATTAATATATTTACATAAAGATAAATTAGCATACGTGGGGTGTTGAGCCTTTTGTCTAAGCACAAGGAAATAGATAACGAGAGATTTACGAAGCAGTGATTCCATTTTAATTATGGGTAAATGAGTTTACCTCATGTTTAAATATTGCTTTAAAACTTAATTAAGCCAACGGCATAGGCCCGTGATGGCGAACCTATGGCACGTGTGCCACAGGTGACACATGTAGCCATATTGGTGGGCACGTGAGCACCAGCTGATTTTCGGGCCTTCTGGGCCCACCAGAAGTAGGGAAACAGGCTGTTTCCTGCTCCGGAGGGCCTCAGGGTGGTGGGGAAGGCCCGTTTTTCTCTCTTCCCAGGCTCCAGAGCCTTTCTAGGAGTCTGGGGAGGGCGAAAACGGCCCCACCGGGCCATTTTCAACCTCCAGAGGGGTGGGGAAGGCTGTTTTTGCCCTCCCCAGACTCTAGACTCTGGAGCCTGGGGAGAGAGAAAAATGGGCCCACTGGGCCATCGTGTGCCAGGAGCGGGTGGGGGTGGGTTGCGTGCACATGCGTGGGGGCAGGGTGCATAGAATTATGGGTGTGGGCATGCTCATGCGCAACTCGCACTCCCCCCGCTCCTGGCATGTGATGGCAAAAAGGTTAGCCATCACTGGCATAGGCTTAATTTATATATGTGTGTGCGTATGTATAAGTATATAATATATGCCAATGATGGTGAACCTTTTTGGCACCGTGCCCAAACCGGAACGCATGTGCATGTGTGCGCGCCAGAGGGCCGGAAACCCGAAGACCAGCGATGCTTGTTGTTTGGCTGTTTTTTGGGCCATTTTCAGGCCTTTTTTAGCCCTAGAACAGCCAGAAAATGGCCCCCAAAACGGCCTGGTTTTTTGGCCTTTTTGGAGCCGTTTTTCTGGGCCATTTCCAGGCTTTTTTCCGGCACCTGCGAAGAGGACCAGTGCGCATGTGCACGCTGGAAACCAGAAGAGCAGCTGGCGACGGCATGCATGCTCTGTGTGCCATCTCTGGCATGTGTGCCATAGGTTCGCCATCACGGATATATGCTATACTATAATATAATATGCTATAAACAGAGATGGGTTTCAGCGGGTTCTGACCAGTTCTGGAGAACCGGTAGCGGAAATTTTGAATAGTTCGGAGAACCGGTAGTAAAAATTCTGACTGGCCCCACCCATATCTATTTTCTGCCTCCCAAGTCCCAGCTGATCGGGAGGAAATGGGGATTTTGCAGTAACTTTCCCCTGGAGCGGGGTGGGAATGGAGATTTTACAGTATCCGTCCCCTGCCATGCCCACCAAGCCACACCCACAGAACCGGTAGTAAAAAAATTCAAAAAAATTATATTACAGTACATTACTGTAATATAATAGAGTGTGTGTAGTATATGTATATGTATATATGTATGTATGTATGTTTTAGCACAAGAATAAAGTATGAAACAAACAGAAAAAAATATTGAACATTAACAAAAGCAAAAAAAGAATTGTGTACCAAAAAGAGAACAAAAAACCCCCAAACACCAGATTAATCTAACATTTGTTCTGATCTAGGCTTCCTTAAAATGCATGAAGCAGAGTCATGGTCCCAGCAAAATCCCTTTTGTAACTAGTTTCCAAATGCAGGGCAAGGCAAAACTTGGCACAGAGTCACAAACAGAACTTTCCACTCTTGAAACGAACGAACGAACGAATTGTTTCCTGCAAAAGCCCCCTCCCCGTTCGCTCCTCTTTTGTTTCCTATGGGAGGGGCCGATCACCTCCAAGGTGTGGCTTTACTCCCGAGTCGACCCTGTTTTCTGAGTTGTTCTTGTCTTCTGGAAGCTCTGCGTATGCGCACACTGGGAACGGGCTCCAGCTGTTCCTCTGCCTCACTGCTGTCTATCTCCCTCTCTGCCACCGACGCAGAGCCCTCGTCCGAGCTTTCCCCCAGCCCTCAGGACTGGCCCATGTTCCTCCCCAACCTCCTCATTGTCTGACTCTGCTGCCAGCTCTGCTGGCCACCGGAAGACCACAACAACAACATTAAACATATCAAAATAATGAACACCTTGGCTGAAAGCTGGAAAGGGGGGGGGAACCCCAAGAAATTCCCCTCCCCTTACACGACAGGTCTACAAATAATTATAAACTTTCTCATCCTTATTTAACGTGAAAAGTATCTAAACAAATATTTCAGATGAGGAAATCTCCATCTAATAATCGAACCGAGCCAACGAGGCTTGTTCTGAGACCGTTGTTTTCCCGTGGGATGAATTTTAATTGGTTTTTTTTTTCTTTCTTTCTTTCTGGCGGGGTGCGTGTGTGTTTCTGCAGACAATCAGATGTTCCAGTACTTCGTTACAGTGGTGCCGACAAAACTTCAAACGCACAAAATTTCCGCAGAAACGCACCAGTTTGCAGTAACCGAAAGGGTAAGTCCTGATCTCGGGTAACAGTAACAGAGTTGGAAGGGATCTTGGGGAGGGGGGGTCATCTATTCCAACCCCCTGAAAAGGGCACTTGGTGGAAAGCTATGAATTTTCTTGCTTTTTCGAAGCATTTTGTTTGCGTGAACTGTAGGTGCTGTTTTCTTCCGTTGTATCCCTTTATGATAAAAAGAATAGAATGCATGCCCTTGCAATAAGCAGATTGCACGTGTATCTCTATAGTTCAATTTCTTTTCTTTTCTTTTCTTTTTCCTAATATTCCTTAATATGTGCCAACTTTTCTGAAATAAATCTTAAATACCGTATTTTTCGGCGTACTTTCCCCCCCCCCCCCACAAAAGAAGCTGAAAATTTGCGTCTTATACTCTTATACCCTGCCCACCCGCCGTCCCCCACCCTTCGGCCTCCATGCATCCTCTTCCTGGCTGCAAAGATTGCCATAGACCAGTGATGGCTAACTTTTTTGCCATCGCATCCCAGGAGCGGGTGGAGGGGGGGCCGCCTGCATGTGTGCCCACACCCATAATTCTATGTGCCCCATCCCCGCGCATGCACGTGTGACCCCTCTCCCACTTCCTCTCCCTCTCCTGGCACGTTGGGCCCGGTAGGCCTGTTTTTCTCTCTTCCCAGGCTCCAGAGCCTTTCTAGGAGCTTAGGGAGGGCAAAAACGGCCCGCCCCTCCAGGCCCTCCGGAGGCCAGAAATGGCCTGTTTGCCAACTTCCGCTGGGACCAGAAGGCCTGTTTTTTGCTCTCCCCGGGCTCCAGAGCCTTTCCAGTCCCACCGGAAGTTGGCAAACGGGCTGTTTCTGTTTTTACCGTCTTGTGTAAGTAAATCAGAGTCTTCATTTGCAAAACTTTCCTTGTGATCTGGCAGCAGATTCGGACAGTGAGGAGGTTGGGGAGGAACATGGGCCAGTCCTGGAGACTGGGGAAGGCTCTGATGAGGGCTCTGCGTCAGAGGCAGAGAGGGGCCATCTGACAGTTATCAGCTGCCTTTGGAGTCAGACATCAGTGAGGCAGACGAATAGCTGGAGCCTGTTCCCAATGTGCGTATGCACAGAGTTGCCAGACAAAGAGAACAGCTAAAGAAGAAGGGGCGACTCAGGAGTAAAGCCACAGGTGGACGATGAATGGCCCCTCCCAGAGGGAATAAAAGAGGAGCGAAAGGGCAGTGGAGTTTGCAGGAGACAATTAGTTCATTCCTGCATTCTTGCCAAGTATTTCAGCGTCTGAAAGATCTCGGCCTAGCCACGCTCCAAGCCTGATAAAGTTCGGTAATCGTGTACTATCTTGAAAGACCGCGGGAGAGGAAAGACTTTGCTGGAGAGTAAATTAAATAAAAGGGGTTTATCGGAACGAGGACTCGGTTTCGTGCTGCTGAGGAAGCGTAGGTCAGAACAGACCGTAGGGAATTCTATAGTGGTTGGAAGTGTGAAAAAAATCGTGAACTCTCTTGAAAGACTGTGGGAGAGGAAAGACTTTGCTGGAGAGGAATTCACTGTGAATTAAATAAAAGGGTTGTTGTTTTTTTGTCGGGACAAGGACTCCGCTTCGTGCTGCTGGGGAAGCCTTAGGCCAAAACACCTCAATTCAGTTTTCCTTATTGCTGCTTTTCCTCAGGAACGTGTGATCAATCACGCAGCCGGAAGCCACGGAGTTTCTGGAATTTTCATGAAATATGATATCAGTTCCCTGATGGTGACAGTGACCGAGGAACACATGCCCTTCTGGCAGTTTATAGTGAGACTCTGTGGTATAGTTGGAGGAATTTTTTCTACTACAGGTAAATGCATTCCGATCTATTACAGATAAGATAGATAGGCTGGCGCAGATGGCTTTCCAGGGCCAAAATGGGGCGCGGGCGGGGCGCATGTGCAGGGGATGTGCGTGTATGCATGGGGGCAGGACGCATGCACGGGGGGGCATTCACATTGCATTTTGGGGGTTCTGGCATGCGCGGGTGCATTTGCGCACGTGCTTTGGGCCCATCACTGGACTAGAACGGGGAAACTCCATCCAGATTACAGATTTATACTTTGGGGGGCGGGAGGGGGTCTGTAACTTGCGTACCCCAAAAGAAGCCCTTGTCCGAAAGTTAAGATTGCTTTGGCTTTTCTGCCCATTGTGAGACAATGCCGGCTGGCGACCCCCAGGAGGAGAGCCTTCTCTGTGGTGGCACCTACCCTTTGGAACAATCTACCCCCAGAGATACGAGTGATCTCCGACCTCCGGACTTTTCGTCGGGCCCTAAAAACTCATCTCTTTCAGTTAGCCGGTCTCTCTTGATTTTATGATTTTATGGTTGATTTTAAATTTTGATATGGATTTTAAATTGATAAATTTTAAACTATGGGCCAAATTTAATTATTTTAAATCTATTTTTAATCGTACTTTATGTATAAATGTTTTATTTTGGCTGTTCACTGCCCTGAGTCCGAAAGGAGAAGGGCGGTATAGAAATTTGAATAATAAATAAATAAATAAATAATAAATAAATAAATAATAAATCGCTCTCGACACGATCGTTTCACACAATGGATAACGAATGCCTAACCACGTTCCACTATCCAATAGAATAAACCAGGTGTCAGCGTTTCGACGCTGGCATAGAGAGCAGAGAGAGAGAGAGATAAGCTCTGAACTTCTGCCTGCTAAATCCCTTTGATGTCCGGTTGTCGTGGAAATGAAGGGGGGAGACATTCCTGGGAAATGACAAGAAGTCTGAAGAATGACTTGGAAGATAGCCAATGAGAAGCAGAGATTTGGGGATCGGAAAGGGAGGGATTGGGGGGCAAAAGGTCAGTCTTGTCCACATCGAGTCATGATCTGGTGGCTGTGCTCAATTAAAGAAAAGATTTCCTTAAAGATTGGCAGTTTGGAAATTCATTTATTTTGAGATAGCATCGAAGTCTGACACCAGGCGTAACCAAATATTCGATTTGTTCTCTTACCGTAGGCATTTTACACAGCGTTGGAAGATTCATAGTGGAAATTATCTGTTGCCGTTTCAGACTGAAGTCTTCTAAATCTACACCTGTAAGTATATTCTGAGTAACACCTGGGCTCTCGTAGAAGAGAATGAGGGTAGCTCAAGGTTGAACTGTGATCTCCTTGGGATTTTCTTGAGCTTGCTTGTTTTCTCACAGACGTTTCAAGACCCAACTAGGAAACATCATCAGTGTGAGATATCTCAGTCAGACATCTTTTTAACAGAGTTGGAAGGGACCTCGTAGGTCATCTAGTCCAACCCCACCTCCTGTCCAAACAGGAGACCCTACACCATTTCTGACAGAGGGCAGTCCCGTCTCTTCTTGAAAGCTTCCAGTGATGAAGCTCCCACAACTTCCGAAGGCCACTTCTGTTCCATGGGTTGATTGTTCTCACTGTCAGAAAATGTCTCCTTATTTCCAGGTTGAATCTCTCCTTGGTCAGTTTCCATCCATTATTCCTTGTCTGGCCTTCGGGTGCCTTGGAGAATAGCTTGACCCCCTTCCTCCTCTCTGTGGCAGCCCCTCAAGTAGTGGAAGACTGCTCTCCTGTCTCCCCTGGTCCTTCTCTTCACTAGACTAGCCAGGCCCAGTTCCTGCAACCATTCATTGTATATTTTAGCCTCCAGTCCCCTCATCATCCTGGTTGCTCTTCTCTGCACTCTTTTTAAGAGTCTCAACATCTTTTTTGTAGTGTGGCTGATGACATTCCCTAGTTGGGTCATGAGATGTCTGTAAGCAAACAACCAGGCTCGGAGACCACCAAGGACTCCAGATAGATCTTCGTTTACAATTAGGTTTAGACAGGACTTTTCCTTTCCTTTCCTTTCCTTTCCTTTCCTTTCCTTTCCTTTCCTT